AAAGTAGATGAAATGCATTTTCTGTGAAAAGCGCTATACAAATAAATTGGAATTGAATTGAAAGAGTCTGGACTAGCCCACTATGAGTCGCGCTGAAAGCAGGCAGGCACGCAGTTATGTAGCTCGCGTTTACACTTGCGTGCATGGCGGGCCCGTGCCGCGGTTCGCGTGAATGTGAAAGCAACACGGACTCGGGAGTGCTTGTTCAGGAAGTTAAGTAACCTGCCCATGCGTTTTAGCTGATTATGATGCATTTAGTTAAATAAAACACATGTAAGGGATGACAGTGTTGATGATTTACCTTGGATACGCGAGAGTTGAGTCTGCAGTGTATTCGCGCATTGCAAGTGCAATCAGGGCAACACATTTGGAAATCCACTGTCTCCTCAAAAGAGTCCGTTTGAAAAACACAATATATTGACCTTTGTTCTGTTTTCTATCATGCGCCGTGCACGTTTGCGATGGCATAAGATGCACGCAAACTCAACAGGGTTCGATAGAATTGAGTGTGAAACCAGACCAACGCTGCGGGAGGCGCCGGGAACAATCGGGCGCGCGCTCGGACTCGGACCGCAGCAAACGAGCCCACTGTGAAGCTCCGTCACCTGCCTCCGCAATTTTTCATATCAAAGCAGTGAAGGCGGGCGGGAACGTGAAGGAAAATTATAGCAGATAAACCAGCAGGGCGCGCAGGGCGCGCATGGCGCACAGAGTGGTGTGCGGAGGTGAATTACAGTGAGCCGTTTGTGACGGGAGACCAAAAATAAATAGCGGTCAATAGTAAAACGACACGTCGACTAAAAAAAATGCCGTCGACTAATTTGCATGGTCGATAACATTGACTAAGTCGACTAATCGCGGCAGCACTAATCGCAATCGTAATCGCGATGTCAAGCCTATGCGATTATATGACGCAAAAAACTGCGATTTTATATTAAATAAACAAATGAGGGCTGTTAACACAGCATCTGTTATTTTTTGTCATGCTTTGGCTAGTGTTACATGATCCCGCTCTTATTCATGCGAATGCTTTAAACCATTCTGCGAGACAAGTCAAAAGAGAGCGCGCTGCCTTTGAATGTCCTGACTGAAAGACGCGCGCCAGTATCATGCGCATGCACAGACCGCGCGCCAGAATACAGTTCTCTTTCCGCTTGAAGTGAACGAACAATAACACACACAATTATGCCAAAATATCATTTGTCGAGTGTCTTCATAACATAAGAGCAGTCTTATGATGGTCGTAAAGAGTTGTGAGAGAATAAGGCGCGTGTGAGATCCGCGTCTCTGTCAGCAACTCTTAAAGGGCCAGCATCCAATAATGCTTTCTGTCAGTAAAGTTAATCAAAGAACAAAGGGAACAGAGAAAAACACTCAGTGCTCTTGACCAAATAACTTGTGTAGCTTTAAATAGGATTTTAGTCCATATAATTGATAATTTATGCAGCGCAGACTGTTTGATAACTTTATTCAATTTCTGTATATGTCCTACCTGTAGACAGGAAGAGCACAGGTAAATATGACATTTATTATGGGTTTATGTGAGGATTGTTTGAAGTTCACTTAAATTAAAATTAAATTAATTGTTATCCAGACATCAATGGCTTATTGATCATTATAAGTGTTATCAATCATTTAGTTGTTGTTGCTATTTTGAGTTGAGAAATACACATTTAAGAATAATCACTTATCTGTGTGTGCATTTTGCTTTAGAACCAAGCAAGTTGACACATTAAACCATTTGTTTATTATATCCCAATCGCATATCGCAATATTGACCTCAATAATCGCAATATGACATTTTCCCCAAATCGTGCAGCCTTAATTTACATGTCTGAATTTTCAAGTGGAAAAACTGAACGATTCTCTAGCGAGGAACGATTCTCTAGCGAGGAACCCCCCCCCCCCCCGAAAGGCACACATTACTAACGTGCTCTTGAAATAACAAAAAAATATATATACTACGTCATTGACTTTAGACCAGGTTTCAGTTGGTCAATGGCGCAGTCTATTTCAGTTGTTATTTCAGTTGTTATTTCAGTCCTCAATATAGCAACGCGCCAACAATGCGCATTGCCTGAACACCTCGTTTTCAGACCAGCATGCCCATTGGCACACAAATGGGCGTAAATGCATTTGCTATTTAAACAACGTGACGCAGGACGTGAAAAACACTTGCCTGATGGGGTCCGCTGGGTTCAAATACTTGTTTCCCCAAAAAACAATGCTACAGCCATTTATTCTGCTTTGAAATGTGCATTCCGGGTCAGAATGTCTGTTTTTGTTTTGGTCTGTGTGAACCCGCCCACTGCCAATTTAACCAATAGTATTTTCAACACCAGATCTTAGATTCAACCCAACCTAGTAAGCCCCAGCATCCATCTAAAAAGCTATACCAGAGGCATATTAAAACGCAGATAAATATTGGAGATGTGTTTGAGAGATGGAGACAGCATAAAGCCCAGAAAGACTCTAAAACTAATACTGAGTTTGCTCATATTCTCCTTGATTGGTACACATTGAGCTTCAACATAGCACATTTAAGTTAATCTAATTGCATTTAATATGAATTTAAGCTAATACTGTACATCTTTATTTAATTGCAAACAACATGCAGTTAAGTGGCCGAAAGCAATGCATTCAGTTCACATTTAAGTATATTTTTTCTGTAATAAGTACTCTTTAAATGCATGCTAAAATGTACATCATCTTCAAAAGGGAAAACTGTCCTCCTTCCTCTCAGGTGTCTAAAAACAAGCCGTGTGGAGGGTCATTGACCCAGTATGCCACACTACACTCTAGTCAATAAAATAAGCAGTGAGGGGCAGACAGTATGTCCCGGAAACACTGATTAACTCTACATCAGCACTCAATGAAAAAAGAGCAATAAAGAGAAGAATCTGATTTTATACATGACAGTCAATTCATTTGGAATTTGCCCACTTTAAAGCAGACTGCAGATTCTTCAGAGGAACCACTGAAGAGTCAAAGTGAGGATTCAGCAAAACCAACCTGTGAAGATTCTCACAAGAGTCCCTCGGCTCTTGATATATTTTATATATTCTGTTCTGACCAATTGTGTAGCTTAAGCAAAGGCTAAACAGATAGTGTACAGCATCACAAATGAACTCCAGAAAGCAGTCTTCATAACTAGTGATTTTACTGGTGATGCTCTTCTCAATATTCTTTGTAAAACTACAAACAAGAAGAGAAAATATGTTTGAATAGTATGTGCACATGCAGTTACATACACATATCCAGTTTAATATTACAGTTTGATTTTGTACATAGTTCCTTTTTAACATTATTTTAAGCAATATTCATATCAAGAAATGATATTCAAATGAGATTCATCAAGTAGAAGTGATATTAACATATTTGTTATACCACTAGCAGATGGCACGTTAGCAATAATGCAAATTGAGTGTGCTTACAACAAAAATACAGCAATAATCTCAATCTAAAAACACTTAAACTCACTATTTACTAAAGTGCTAAAAACATAGCGCTTACAGACATATATTTCCAAGGCTTAAAGAATTTCAACAGCTACAGTATAAGGATCGAAAATTGATGGAATAATAAAATTACATATAAATGTGTACTTAAGTCCTACTTAAGGGGGTACACTTAACTAGGCACTATTAAAGGGATAGTTCACCCAAAAATGTGAATGTGAATTCTGTCATACACTGTAATGAATTGCTGTAAAAATTACAGCAATATTTTACAGCAGCTGGCTGTTTTCTAATAATACAGCATATTGCTGTAAACTGCAATGCATTCTGGGGTCACGTGACGGTTTGATTCAAAATACAGAATATTGCTGTAAATTTCAAATCTACAGAGGCATTGTGATCTTCAACGGTCGTGTCGTCGACTTTCGGGTAGCGGCAAGAGGAGTGATTCTCAACTCTGTGGTAAGTGACTTATTATTTCAGTTTCTTATTTTTATGTTGTGTTACTCGTAGACTATGAAGGTAACGTTATATTCGCGGTTCATATTGGTAACCGAGGATCACGCATCCTCCGTACAGGGCACGAGGGAGACTTGCGCGGGGCTTCAGCATCGCGGACGCGGTAGTATCACACATTCCTCGGGATCTATGGGCTCCTATGTTAAGAAGAATTACATGCTTTAATGACAACAGTCGGTATTCACACGAGCTTCGTGTTGATCTGCACACTTCGTCGTGATTATTTTATGGTGTAAATCAAATCAAAATCAAGTCATCTGTTAAAATGGGCACCGAAATGAAAACGCCGTTGCTAAAACCTTGCGTCAGAATCTGAATGTTGCTGTGTCGCATGTTTAATATGCCGGTGTAAAAATCCCTTACATTTCAGTACGAATATAGGCTAGCCTATATCCTATATATTTTAGCTAGCCTACTCTCTGTGTGTAATTTGCTTATTGTTTTCATAATTCCTTTGTTAATTTTATTTAAAAGAAAGAGTTCCTGCACTCTGAATAAAATATAGTTTAAATTTAAAAAGCTGAAAAATAAAAATAAACTATTGTCACATGTGGTATTGTTTTAGGAGACACTTTGACAAGTGGACACTGGAAGACCAAGTTGTGTGTGAGGAGAGCATTCAGCCCAGCTTCCTGTCTGGCCTTGACATAGGCCTACTGTTCACTGCATATTACAGGAGGAGGCAGCCTGCACCTTGGAGTTCATTTAAAGGTAATGATTGAATTCTTAACAACCTCAGTACATTTTACACATTTATTCAATATCAGAACTTGCCTTTAGATATATTATCTGTTGACTTAATTAGTTAAATCAGGTGTTTTAATTAGTGGACATAGGGTTAGGGTTGGGGAGGTCTTCCTGAGAGGTCCTCATGACTGGAGTTGAGAAACACTGCTCTAACAGATTTCAAAAACATGATTACAAGCATCAAAACTTAAAACCAATCCTAATTACATATTGTCTGTTTCCTGACCCATTAGGTGCTTTGTAAGAGAGGAACAAAGAAGAAAATTGCCACGACAGGGCAAATGGTACAGAAGAAACAGGTTGCAGTGAACCCACATGTTGCCACTCTTCCCTGCAAAGTGGTGTGTTATCAGTGGAATTTCTGAAATGTAAGTAGTATACACACACACAAATATATTTTTTTCCTTTAATTGTAACCTTTTAATGTTCTTTATCTGACTCTAACTGTATCTGTCATCCCTCTGTCTGTCTCTGACTGTATCATTATGTTTTGTAATATATCTAATGTATTGTCCTTTTCAATATTTCTAGCCACTCTTTGCATCCTGTGATGGAACAGCATCTGGAGCTGAATTATTCTCCATTTTTGATCATAAGTTTTTTGGACTCACTTGGGGCCTTGTTGTTTGGACATGTTTGTCTGGTAATGAAGTGGTGAAAATTCATTTGTGTCTGTCTTTTTCAGAATCATTTTATTATGATCATTTTGGTCAACTTGTGGTTTTAAATGTCATTTGCGTATTTCTTCTTTGTGTGAAGGGCCATGACGGCTAATTTGTTTCAAGTAATTAAAAAAATATTTAATTTCATGTCCATTTAAAAAAAAAGTATGTTAATAAAAATTAAATCAAAATGATACAAAATACACTGTTTTATGACTTTTTTTCATGCATATTTTAAAGTTATAAATTAAATAAATGTTGACCTGTTTTTCAAGATTAGGATGTTGAATAATTTGTTTGTTTTGTGAAGTAATAGGGGAATTAAGTTGTGCGTTATACAACACTTAATGTATTTAAAAACAATTGTTTAAAGCTTATGCAGTTGATAAATAATTAACATTTAAAATTCACGGGCCCACCGGTGGGCCCAAATCCTTTACATTTTTAAAACAGTAAGATCCTATACTAAACCTAAACTAATCTTGACAAACTATATATCATTTGAAAGCTTACAATCTCTTGTTTCCATATTTGGTGATTGATTTTCAAAATAAATTACAGAGGAGCCGTAATTTATCAATTTGCAACAATAATATTTTCATACTCTTAGACCTTTATTTTGAAATAGTGATGAACATGAAAAATCATGAAAGAAGGGTAGAAACCTCAGTTTGTTTTCATTCCAAGAGTTCAAAAGATAGCATCCATTCAATTATTTAAAAAAAAAGGTCTGAATTTTTTTTTTTATATAAAGAAAAAAATTATATGATGTGGCAGGAAGCTAAAACGCACATGCGTGTTCTTTTTATGTTTCTTAGAGGTTGAAATCATATCAAAATCTGCCAAACTTCTCATATTACTTCTGAATAGGATGTCTACTTCATAAATTGTATGAAAATTGTGGAAATAATGGTTCATATCATTCAAAACACATATGGAAATGGAGGCGCCCTTATATGGGCAGTAATGGAGTCTGGTTGTCATCTAGTGAAAAAGTTTGGTACTGCGCCCAAACAAAATCTTACTGAAAGCTCATTTTTTGAGATATCAACCTAAAATTTGAAACACAACTTGTTCAGATTTTTGGCTTTGTTTTTTTTTGCAGTTTTAGAGTCGCCCAGGTTTTGAAAATATATATTTTATATAAAATATGAATAATTAAATTTTTTACATTGTACATTTTCATAAACTCAAACTTCTATAACTTTTTTTCTATTTCACTTTCTTAATTTATTTCACTTCTACAAGAATCTGCCAAATGTCTTCTTTAAAACAAGACCAATCTTACGTCTATATTCCAAAGCATTCTTGAATTACAACCATTTAAGTTCGAAATGTGCATTTTCATGTATATTCAAAAAAAGGGGGGTGACACTTAAAGGGTTAAATCAGGTGTTTTAATTAGTGGACATAGGGTTAGGGTTGGGGAGGTCTTCCTGAGAGGTCCTCATGACTGGAGTTGAGAAACACTGCTCTAACAGATTTCAAAAACATGATTACAAGCATCAAAACTTAAAACCAATCCTAATTACATATTGTCTGTTTCCTGACCCATTAGGTGCTTTGTAAGAGAGGAACAAAGAAGAAAATTGCCACGACAGGGCAAATGGTACAGAAGAAACAGGTTGCAGTGAACCCACATGTTGCCACTCTTCCCTGCAAAGTGGTGTGTTATCAGTGGAATTTCTGAAATGTAAGTAGTATACACACACACAAATATATTTTTTTCCTTTAATTGTAACCTTTTAATGTTCTTTATCTGACTCTAACTGTATCTGTCATCCCTCTGTCTGTCTCTGACTGTATCATTATGTTTTGTAATATATCTAATGTATTGTCCTTTTCAATATTTCTAGCCACTCTTTGCATCCTGTGATGGAACAGCATCTGGAGCTGAATTATTCTCCATTTTTGATCATAAGTTTTTTGGACTCACTTGGGGCCTTGTTGTTTGGACATGTTTGTCTGGTAATGAAGTGGTGAAAATTCATTTGTGTCTGTCTTTTTCAGAATCATTTTATTATGATCATTTTGGTCAACTTGTGGTTTTAAATGTCATTTGCGTATTTCTTCTTTGTGTGAAGGGCCATGACGGCTAATTTGTTTCAAGTAATTAAAAAAATGTTTAATTTCATGTCCATTTTAAAAAAAAGTATGTTAATAAAAATTAAATCAAAATGATACAAAATACACTGTTTTATGACTTTTTTTCATGCATATTTTAAAGTTATAAATTAAATAAATGTTGACCTGTTTTTCAAGATTAGGATGTTGAATAATTTGTTTGTTTTGTGAAGTAATAGGGGAATTAAGTTGTGCGTTATACAACACTTAATGTATTTAAAAACAATTGTTTAAAGCTTATGCAGTTGATAAATAATTAACATTTAAAATTCAGCTGCCAGTCATTAATATTCAAAAATCAGGAAAATATATTGTATATACTGCATTTTACATACTTCCTCTAGATATAGTGAATACAGAGATTCATGTAACTTACTGTAAAAAATACAACAATTAAAAAAATACAGTTATTTACTGTAATCAGAGAATACAGTAAAAATCTGTAAATTAAATTACAAAAACGCTACTGTAAAAAATACAGTAACTGACTGGCAACCCTGCTGCCAGTATTTTACTGTAAAATTTACAGGAAATTTTTAACAGTGTAATTTACTCACCCTCAAGCTGTTCCAAACCTGTGTTAATTTGATCATTCTGCTGAACACAAAGATGATATTCTGAAGAATATGGGTAACCAAACAGTTGATGGGCCCCATTGACTTCCATAGTATGGAGAAAAAAAAAAAACCATGGAAGTCAATGGGGCCCATCAATTATTTAGTTACCAACATTATGTGTGTTCAACAGAAGAAAGAAATTCATACAGGTTTGGACAAACTTGAGTGAGTAAATGATTTTTGGGTGAACTGTCCTGTTCACCCAAAGGTGAACAGGACTGTTAAAGGTGCTCTATGTAACTTTTAGCATCCTCTAGTAGTGATGTTTCAGATTGCAACCAAATTTTACAAGAGCGCTCGTGCTCGAACTCATAGAAAATACCGTCTATTACGCAAATATCTCGGCGAATACTAGACGAATTCGGCGAGCACCGAGCTCGTTGGGACCATCTAGTCGAGCTGAAAAGAACCATATAAGGTCCATAGTTTTTGGTGGTGTTTTCGCGGAGATATTGGCAGAAAACCATCGGGCGCGCTGCAAAATTGCGGACGCCGGTGACGTCACGATCTCACGATCGTATCTCTGGAACGCAAAGACCCAGAGAGCTCAAATTCAGGGGAGGAGGTCCCAGGGGAACCCTTGCCCGAACGCTAGAGTGGCGGGCCTCGGGGATGCCCCCTACCGGATCGCCGTTCGCTGGGACCCGCGATTTCGAACGGCTATAACTCGGGGAGCCGGGCGAGTTGGACCTCGGGGGTGGGCTCGTTCGAAAGGCCCCGTCCAGCACTACGGGAATATTGATCAAAGATTGACTGAGATATAAGCCGAAAAACTTGCGCCTTTAACCGGGCGTAACTCCCTGACCGTCTACAATAGACTGTATATAAGGAGAGAGTCTCGGGAGCGCGCATGCACGTCACATCCGTTGGATTTCGCGGTAAATCCGACCCGGAGACTTCACATAGAAATAGGAATACTGGCCTTCAGAGGTAATAGCAAAACTCGACAAGTGGATCATTTTAATGTGTGATTACAACCCCTTCACACACAGGCAATAAAAAAAGGATTCATTTTAGTAGAAAAGTTACATAGAGCACCTTTAAGTCCAACTAATTGCATTGCATTTCATTCAGTTTGAACTTATATTATTTAATACTTATAATATATTATTTTAAAATATATGATTTCTGTAGTACTCGTTTAAAAGTATGCTATAATGTACTTTGCAATTGATGCTGATACATATGATGTGTGAATTTAAAGTAAAAAAGTACACCAGTGTCAACTGCTGCATAACAATGAATGAAGATATAACGGATAGCTTTTCCAGGTATTATAGACCTCCTTGGTATGACCCTGTTTACATATGCATACGATAAAATTGCATAAACAGATTTAATACAGACTGACATTGAAGTATGAAGTATTTATAAGTATAGTCATTGCCTTGCTTCCTCTGCTAGTGGTTAGATGTCTTTCTGCATAACATCAATTGTCCTGAATCTCCTCCAAGACACTGTGCTGACTTAGACTGACTTTATTTTCTGCTTTGCCATTGTAACATGAGTGCTGCAAACATGCCTCCATTTTCACCACGGTTTTGTCTCTGAGTGGGAGGATGCAACCCAAGTCTTTGTGTGCAAAAAGAGCTGATAAGACCCTCTTTATCAGCGCTCAATGGCCTGTAATGGAATCACACACCATTAAGAGAAGGTTATGTTGAAATTCGAGGAAAATCTGATGTAAACTGGTCAGCAGAGAAAATATTTACAGACTATCACATGCAGAAGATAAATCTTGTTTTGTGGTGTGAAGACCAATTCAAGTTTTCAAGAAGGCTATAAATATAACACCATTCACAGCTTTGAGATGTTGAGATTTTTATGTGTCCTCATTATGTGAGTTATGGTACACAATGGAAGAGTAAAGAAAACGGCTCTGCGTCTCCTAAACAAGCCACCACTTTTAATTAAGCAATCAAATCCTCATTTGCAACACACTCTTAACATGACTGCTGGTAACCGACACATTCTTAGCTACGTAATTGAATTGGAAAGAAGTGCTGAGGTGATAGCCTGCTACGTTACATTTAAAAAGCTTGGTGGTCTTCATTGGGATTCTAACAGCTTCCCGTCGGGGATGACAGACTTTGCATCCATCGCCGAACAGCTGTATTCCCTACAGCCATTAAGCCTCATTGCGAGGCCGACGCAAGATTAATGCGTGAACTTCCCTTGTCACTGCATGGGCATGTCAGTGTAAGATGGACTCTGAATGCGAGGCAGTCTGAAATAAAAACCCATGAATAATGCAATATTCGC